CCTCGTGTAGGAGCCATGCAGCAAGAAACTTGAAAAGCTTCGGCCCGACGGGCTGGAAGTGGGGATTTATCCGGATGAGAATCGGTCTATGGTCATACTTAATGCAAGGAAGGTGACGCACAACTGTATCCAGATAAGCTGCTGTCCACATATAGTTACTAAGTGCCCGGTCGAGTCTCTCTTTTACCCCTCTGCGGAACCACGTAAATTGAGGTCCAAAATGGCCCAAATCCGTCAAACCTGCGTCCAAGACGAAGTCTTGAAATTCCCGAACCTTTCCAGCATCGAAACATGCTCCGCTCATCTTCTCCGATGCCTGGAGTAAGGCGTTGAAGTCCCCAGCTAATAGCCATGGGAGATATTGGTTTGCAACAATGTTCCGCAAAGAATCTCATAGCTCCCTACATTAAATTAACGCAAGATTATCGTATAATTCTGTGAAGCTCCATTGCCTATCTCCATGTTGGACATTCACGTGAATAGACAGTGACGTGATGTTCATCAACTTTCTGTAATAGTAACCACTTAAGGGTTCCCTAGAAGCCGAATCCCTCTTAAGAAGCCCCGTGCATCCACCAGTAAATGCTCATCAAACCCCATACTGCCGATTATGTTTCTAAATTTCAGTGATTAAATTTTATTCCAATTTTATTTCATTTTGTTTTTTTCCCGTAATAAATTTTAGTTACTTCGGTTACTGCGGCATGTGTTTTTTTCACTATTGTGCGTCTTAACGTTTTTTATTTTTATTTTTATGGTAAACCTGCTTTATTAAGTAATCAAAATGTCCTTCTCTAGCTAAGGAAGGAGAAACATAGGGGGCCTAAGAGCCCAAGATTCAGAAGAATCCCAATTACAGTTTGAGTGGGCCATTGAGTGGGCCGATTCGTTTCCTGTTCTCTTAGTAAAGCTCCACCTTATTTGGCCCATCGTCTCGGCCCGCTCCTTCAGCTCCCTTGCGACCATCCCCACCTCCAGCCTCGAATCTTCCTCACCCTTCATTTTCTGGATAGCTGACCGACAGTTGCTTTCCACCATCGCCGGTAAGAAACCATGGCCTTCCACCACCTCCAACCCAAAATCCATTGCCCGCAGTTCAGCGATTTCCGGCGGCCACTGTCTTCTCTCCTGCCGAACCGCCGCCAACAGGAATTTTCCAGTCTCATCGCGAACCACCAGCCCCAGTCCTGTACCTTCCCCCGCCATCACCGCAGCATCCACATTCACCTTCACCCATCCTTCCGGCGGCTTCTCCCAAGTACAATTCGCTACCGATTTCATTTCTTGCTCCTTGGAATGGTAGGATTTGAACTCCGCCCAGTAGTCAAGAGCCTTCCCTATTATCGCCCATTCCTCCGCCTTCTGTTTATTGAACATTTGATTGTTCCTTTCATTCCAGATCGACCATAAAATCAAACCCAACTTCTCCAAAGTTTCATCACCAGCTTTCTCCATTACCTCACAAAGCCAACTTCCCGCTGATAGAGTAGGCTCGATCTCGAAGAAGTTCCTGTAGATTGTAGGTCTCCAGATCCGACATGCCCACTGGCACTCTCGGAAGATATGTTTTTGAGTTTCTTCCAAATTGCAAAACGGGCACTCAGTCGCCGCTTCCTTCTTCCTCCGCTCAATGTTCTTTCCCGTTGGGAGAATTTCATGAGCTACTCTCCAGAGGAAGATCTTCACTTTAGGTGGGATCGTTAATTTCCATAATCTGTCCCAATCCATAGGATCATAAGTTTCCACATTCTCCTCCCCCCCTCAGTCCATGCACTTCTTCATCAGGCAGTGTCGGATTCTGAGAGACTAATCCTCTAGTGGTTAACACAGAGTAGGCCGATTTTACAGTATAATCACCCTTCTTTTCAGCACTCCACACTAAATCATCCTTCGCTGGCTGTCTTGGTATGGGAATAGCTGCAATTCTCGCGCAATCCTCTGCTGTAAAGCTACTCTGGAGCATATTCCATCTCCACACTCTCTGCTCATGATCGATGAGATCCATGACTTTATTCAAACCTCCCGCTTGGGGCTTGGGGGAAGAAACTCAAAAATCATTCTCTTCAGCCCCTGCCACCCATCTTTCTGACCAAATGTTTATCTCAGAACCATTTCCTACTCTCCATCGGACCCCCTCCTTGACTAAACCTTGAGCGGCCATTATACTCCTCCAAGTGTAACTTGGGTTGTTCCCGAGTTGAGCTTGCAAGATAGTTGAATGAGGGAAGTACTTAGCTTTTAGCACTCTGCCTGCCAAAGATTCTGGATTGTTAAGCAAATTCCAGACTTGTTTCCCTAGCAAAGCAATATTGAAAGCATGTAGCTCTCGAAAACCCATTCCCCTTTCGATTTCGCTTGACACAGTTTGTTCCAAGCCATCCAATGAATCCTCTTCTCATCTTTCTGCTGGCCCCACCAGAAACTAGATATGTCCCTTCTCAACTCTTGAATAACACTGTCAGGTATCAAGAAAATCGACATATAATAAGTTGCCTGTGATTGGGCCACTGATTTGATGAGCACTTCTTTTGCCGCCACTGAGAGTGTCTGGCCTTTCCAGTATTTAATCTTTTTCTTGACTTTGTCCACCAAGTTCTGGAATGTAGCTTTTTTCTCTGGTCCAATAATTGTAGGGAGCCCCAGGTATTTCTGATGTGAATCCACTTGCTTCATACCCAAAATGACAGATAACTTATCCTTCTTCTCCTTTGGGACACTCGGACTGAAAGTGAGCTCTGATTTGATTAAATTGACTACTTGGCCCGACTCTTCCTCGTAGTCTCGCAAGATTTTCTATAACTCCTTGCTCTCCTGAACTGTTGCTCGTGTGAAAATCACACTGTCATCAGCAAATCGCAGATGAGATATAGCTGGTCCTCTAATTGAGGCTTTAATACCATGAATTGTCCCTCCCTCCACTGCCTTTTGGATCAGGGTTGATAGGCCCTCCACACAAAATAAGAAGAGGTAAGGTGATAGTGGATCACCTTGCCTCAGACCTCTTTCAAGTTTTAACTCCTCAGAGCGGTGGCCATTAACCAAAATCTGATAGGAAACTGTGGTGATGCAGTACATAATCATCTTCACCCATCTTTCTGCGAATCCTAGCTTCATCATCATAGCTTCCCACTCCACCCTGTCGTAGGCCTTAGATATTTCTAATTTAGTAGCCATAAATCCTCTCTTGGCTCGAGTCTTTTGCTTCATGGAGTGAAAACACTCAAAAGCCACCATGATATTATCTGTAATATAACGTCCTGGGACAAAGGCGCTCTGTTCTTCCCCTATAACCGAGTTGAGTACTCTTTTTAGTCGGTTTGCAGGAACTTTTGAAAGGACCTTGTAGAGTACATTACAAAGACTTATAGGTCTGAAGTCCAAGGGGTTTGTAGGTTTTTTCTTCTTCGGAATCAGCGCTATAAGTGTGTTGTTGAGCTGCAGGGGAAATTCCCCCAGTTCCAGATATGACTGAAGCTCCCTTAGGATAGTGTCCCCAACAGTTTTCCAGTGCCTTTGGAAAAACCTCGCTGACATCCCATCCGGTCCAGGTGCTTTATTAGGACCCATTCTCTTTAAGGCCATCCTTATTTCATCCTCAGTAAAGGGTTCCATTAGGTATTGATTCATCTCTGCAGCAACCTTAAGGGTCACCAAATGCAGAATCTTGCTTCCTTCCCCTCTTCTGCTTTTTGCGAACAGATTTTTCATATATCCAACTAGACAGTTGGATACCTCTTGCTGGCCTACAAAAGTCTGGCCCGATTCATCCTGTAACCTCTTGATCGTGTTTTTCCTTCTTCTTTCCAAGGCTTTCCTGTGGAAGTATCCTGTATTCAGGTCCCCTTCCTTCAACCAATCTGCTCGGGATCGTTGCTTCCATTTCATTTCCTCTTGGAGGATTACATCATTGAGCTCCAGCTCAATTATTCTTTTCTGTTGTAAAGTCTCTTTTGTTCTCTTTCTCTTTTCCAGGGCTTGTAGAGCTTTCTCAGCCTTTTTCCTCCTCTGCTTTAGGGAGCCAAAGACTTTTTTGCTCCAAGAGAGCAATTTATCCTCGCATTTCTTAATTCGGTTCATAGAGCTGGCTCCCCTTGCTGATGCCATGCTTCTGCAATAACCTTTGAGAAGTCCTCGTGCCTCTCCCAATAAGGTTCATAGTGGAAAGACCACCCCCAAGTAATATCCTCTTCTTCAAGATCTAGTTTCATCTGTATTGGTATATGGTCAGAGCCGCATCTCTCTAAGTGATAGACATGCATATTAGGATAGTACTCCTTCCACTCTGTGTTCCCCACTGCCCTGTCCAGTCTCTCCTTAGTGTAATCTTGGTCAACTCGATTATTCTCCCAGGTAAAGGTCCTCCCATAGTAACCACAATCCTCCAATCGGCAAAGTTCCAACGTATCCCTGAACATTTCCATCTCTCTCACCTCTAGGTCTCGATTTCCACTCTTCTCCATATATTCAGTTATGAGGTTGAAATCCCCCATTACCAACCAAGGTAGTTGTATTTGTTGGTGAAGCCTTTCGAGTAATTCACAAGTTTTCTTCTTATTACTTGCTTCAAGCCATCCGTATACCCCTGTGAACCGCCAATCCTTATTGCTGCCTGGCATTCTAACTTTAGCATTAATAAAGTGGAGGTCTCGCCCCTTCACCTCCATTTGTACCTCTTCTTTCCACATCAACAAGAGCCCTCCTGCTCTGTTATTTCCAGCTGCCACTCCTCTTCCATCATAAAACCCAAACTCTTTTATTTTCTTTTTCCATTCCTCCTCATAGTGCTTAGTCTCCATCAAAAAGACCACATCGGGATTGGTTTGGCGTAGCAACGCCTTCACTTTTTCAACTGACGGGGTATTCCCGAGGCCTCGGCAATTGTAGCTCAATAGACTCATTGAGCTGGGCGGCTCTGCTCCTTGGCAGAGTCTGCCACTTCGCCATCCTTTTCATTTGCTATATTTTGTTTTGAAACTTACTCTCCTTTTAATTTTCTTTACCTATTTTGCAGCTATCTCATTCAGCATGCCATCTCCTTCTGCACTCTGAGCATTTCTTTTTTGTGGTGTAACCTGTGCAGGGATTGGCTCTCTAGGTGTGGTTTGTTTCTGCCTGCGCCACACCTTACCCCTGTTTTGAGGATGGTGTTTCATTCCAACAGTTCCCATCACAAATTGTTGTAGGGCACCTCCCATTCCCATCTGCCCCAGTTGTGGGTTCTTTAGTGTATTGGCCTTAGCCCTTTGGATCCGACTCTGGTCTTTCTTCTCTTCAACATGTCCCTCTCCAGGTTCTTTCGTTTGCCTATTATTTTGTGGATCTTTCTCCTTCTGTGCTTCCATCTGTGGGGTAACTTGTTTGTCTGCTATTTCTTCTGCAGGGGGTGCTTCATGGTCTGAGTTGGAGCCTGTGCTTTCCCAATCAAACTTCTTCCTCAAGGAAGCCCATATGGTCTCATCTTCTTTCTTTAAGGAGTGTGACAACCAGCTTCTGGGTCCTGGCGCTCCAGCTCTCAACTCCATCCCAAAAGGGTCTGGGCTTATTCCTGATGGCTTCGGACAACGCAGTTTCGGGTGTCCTATTCGTCCACAGGAGTAGCATAATATAGGTAACTTCTCATACCTAACAGGGTATTCGACTGATTGCCCTTTGATGTTGAGCTTAATCTTCTTTCTTAGAGGGTTGTTGATGGATAAACTCACCCTCAATCTCATATACGAGTCCCACATAGATCGAGGGCTATCATCGAACCAGATTAAAGAACCAAACCTGTTTGCTATTTTCTCTGCCATTTGTTTTGTTCTAAGCTCTGCTGGCATCTCTTTAATCTGGATCCAAATGTCCAGCATATGCAGTACTTCTGGTGTCGGTTTCTTGATCAATAGACTAGTGATAACGATGTAATTGCACATAGTTGCACCCCTAATTCTTGTCCGTTTGAGGGGCATAGTCGTGTATTTTTGGCCTATTTTACGCCGGGTTGTGCTATTTGGTCATATTTCAGGTCCCAGGCGTCAAAGGGAAGGCTAAGCACGAGTTTCGGGGCATTCAGAAGTCATTTCGTCGAGCTGGAGCCAAAACAAGGGCACACCTAAAACAGAACACGGTCGTGTTCTGTGACCGTGCTTTTACTGCCGAGAGCTAATTGAGTTTGGCAAATTCAAGCTGCAAACACGGGCTGAAAGCACGGCCGTGCCCACCCAAAGCACGGCCGTGTCCACCCAAAAGCACGGCCGTGTTTCCACCAACACAATGGCCGTGTAATTAACCCTAGCCAAGGCACGGGCGGGCTGAGGCATTACACGGCCTGCCCTCGACCGTGCTTTGGCCACTGATGCCCTTTTAAGCAGATTTCAGCCAAAACAGAGGGGGATTGGAGTTTTGAGAGAGATAGAGCGATTCCTAGAGAGAAAGAGTGACGAACAAGAGTCTCCAAGTGCCCTAGCTTGATCTTCAACACCATTGGAGGCCAGTTTGAGCTTGGAGAAGTGCCGATCAACGTCCAGGAGCAGGAATCCATCCTTCACAGTATGAATTCCGCGTCTGATTCTGCTTTTGCTTCTTTCTCCATGGAGTAGTTCTCCCATTCATCTGGGTATGGAGAACCCTAGATTTGTATGTTAGGCTTTGATTGTATGAACCCAAGTACTGATTCTATGATTTGATTATATTCGATTGAGGTTTGAATGATTGAATGACTTGAATCCTGATCAAATTCCTGTTGTTTCTGCTTTAACCTAGAATGAGAACATCCGCCTAGGTTGATAGAGCATCCTTGATTGAAGGTAGGGAGTTGGTGACTTTAGTCGAGGAGCCAACTCACTATTCTGTACTGGATTTACTTCGGTAGTGGAGGTTTTGTTCATAGGGCCTCAATCTGTTTACTCCGGTGGAGGTTAGTCGCCCGCTAGAGACTCAGATTGAGAGGGTCTGAAGACCTTTAGTCGAGACTTCAGGCTGTTTAAGAACCTTCCGCAGTATAACTATCATAGAAACTGAACTTGGTAATTACAATCCGGCTTAACTGCAGTCTAGGGGGAACCATATCCGGGTGACCTCTCTTAACCTGAATACAACTGTTTACTTGCTTTGTTAGTTTGTTAGTTTAGACTTGCATTAAAGTTTCATTGCTAGATAACGAGAATTCACTGAGTAGTCATCAAATCTAGGACCCGGGTTGACATTTAAACCCAAACTGCTATACTACGCTTTAGGAAGTGGTTTCACTTGGCCAATTCCTGGAGTGACAGTAGAAGTGAGTCAACTATCCATAAACACCATTGTGTTGTTTTCGTAGTGCCAGGGTCCCACAAAGCAGACCCTATCTCTATCATCTTCCTCTAGGAATTGGAACGCGTAGAGCTTATCCCCCAAATCAGTGATCTGAAAATTTTTCTTCAGGTTCCAAGCTTTTGTCAAAGCTATCTTAAGTGACTTGATGTTTGGTGATTTTTCAGCTACAAGACGCCCAATCAAGCCTAATCGGCGGACCGCTTCCATTCGAAAGGCGTCCACATCTTCATCTTTGACTTCGAGGGGTGTGTCATCTTCATTCTCCAGTGTGATGTGGTCCAGTTGCACTTCCAGACTTTCCGCAGTGCTCTGAAGTTCTGGCTCCCTTTCAACCTCTCCTGTATCCATGACTTGATTCTTCTCTATCTCTGTATTCAACTCTCTCTCTTAAGAGAAGCGTACAGAAAAGCTTCCCTTCTTATACACGTTACAATGAATCTCGATCAAAAGACCTTCTCCAACAATGTAAGCAGGAAACGTCGTTGACAAAGGCAAAGGAGACATTTTCACCCCTGTTTACCCTATCCTAGCTGAAAACAGCTATGTAAATCAACTAAGGACTCCGGAAAACCTAGGGTTTCCGCTGCTCCGAAAAACTCTCGCTAAACGAGAGAAAAAAGATGCAACTGTGCGTCTAACGTTTTCTATAGTCCCGTAACAATGTAAATTTTAGGTATTAATTTTTTAAAAATCAAAATTAATCACATCATCGATAGTGTATATTTGGTAGTTTCTCCTACGTCTCAGGGACAAAGTATAATCAATTGCTATAAAAATAAATTAGTACCACAATGGTTGCCATTTTGATTGATCGTTTTGCTGGAGAATCATAATCTAGGAGTCATTTGGAGAACAATATTTACGCTATGTATTTACTGAATTCGTAGATTTTGTAGAAAGTTATATTTTTTTGTTACTTTTTGTATAATGGATTTTAGTTTTAAAGATTTCAAATCTCAAAAATCTAGAGCTATCAAATCTATCATAATCAGAGAGATTCTATATATTGATTCGTGAGAGTTTTTCCTCTTACTTTATCTCTTCCTTTAATTTATTTATCATATTAAATATATTGGTGGGCCTGGTGCCTTGCAAGTCACCGTAACTTGCACTTTTCGGTCGAACTCGGTTATGATTAGGTCGACCTAATCTGTTGTTTCAGTGTAAAAACAGTTTCATGGTGCCTACTTTGGAGATTCATATCTTACAATTGCCTCGATGGAAATTGGAAATTAATTGCTTGTTTTAAAGCTGGAGTGTCCCTCTGTACATTGAAGTGCTTGGGGATCTTGATAGGAAGTCAAGAAGAGAATTTTTGAACCTGATCAAAAGGGTATGCCAAAAATGAAAAACTGCCTAAAAATGGCTGTTTGGGAACGTGTTTGTGAAGCCTACTTTGGAGCTCAATTCGAGAAGCATGGATGAGAGTCGAGTCCAGGGGCCTCTACCACATGAAATTAGGTATGTTTGTCTACAAAGGCAAGGCATTGGATGAAAGATTGGATATCTGAAAGGCTTCAAACCAAAGGCTCGAAGTTGATACGAAGTAAGCTGCCTTCTAGCACAAGCAAGCTGCCAGAAAATAGCCTTCGTAGCAACTTCTAGCCCAGTTTTGGCATAGCCTTTTGATTAGGTTCAAAATTGGTCTTCTGAACTTCATATCGAGCTCCCAAGTACTTCAATGTGTAGAGGGACACTCCAGCTTCAAAACAAGCCATTAATCTCCAATTTCCATCGAGCCAATTGTAAGATATGAATCTCCAAAGTAGGCACCATGAAACTGTTTTTACACTGAAACAACATATTAGGTCGATCAAATCCTAACTGAGGTCGACCGAAAAGGGCAAGTTACGATGACTTTCAAAGTCCTAAATATATTTATCAACAAAATTTTCAATACTTCTCGAACCACTCTATTTTTTAATTAAGTATAAACAAGTTATTTGATACAAAATTGGAATATTTATTTTTTATTGAATGTCAACAATCGCAATCATCAAACAATTAACATTTTAAAATCAGTTTCAACAATCCAAATAGTTATAAATCTTTAGATTGTTGACAATCTATAAATTTGAACTCATATTGTCCAAACAACCCCTTATTTGATGTTGATACGAAAAGAAATCAAGGACAAGACATAGCTAAGAGTTGAACGATAAGGATATAGAAAAATTTTATTTAGTCTTTTATTATAAAAAGGCAAAAAACAATAATTGAGAACAATGTCCTAAGTCCTACTCACATAAAGGAAATTTAATATCAATTATTTATTTTGGTTACCGAAATATTGTGTGAGTCAGGTATCATTAGTGTTCTCCAATCTCAATTTTTAATCCCATGCAAGGGGACCAAACATAACACCCTAGCGAATGTGTATTGGCCTGATTGATGAGGCCATAAAGACTCCTCAAGAATGTGCAATCGGTTCCGTCATCTTGTCAGATGATGGAACTGTATCATTTTATTTTGGTATACTTGTATTATAATATTTATATGATGCTTATATATCGCAACTAATTGTCCTTAACGATGTTATGAGAAGATATCTTACTCACAATGTTTTGGTTGTTACTTTTTGAATAGATTCTCAAATCAAGAATGGTACATCGAATAAGTCTTTCCATTCTAGATCCATAGTCATCATAGGAAGTTCATTATCTCTTCTTGTCCTTTGTCTTAATTTATGTGTTATTTTGCTTTTTGGAGTTTTGACATAGCTACACAACTAATAGCAAAAGAAGCTCTTTTATCGAGAGTCCGATCCGATTACACACCGGTTATCGAAATAGGTGAAAAATTAAGCTAAAAAAATTTGAACAATGATGTTGGACAGTTGGAGAATCTGTCAAATTCTTAACGAATATTCTATTTTCTAACTACATTATATTGTAAGGAAATTCTATTTCATAATAGTTATATGAGCCACATATTTTTATACAATTATATTAGCTATTAGATCGTGTGTGCTAATTACAAGTGATCTAATTATGAGCCAAAAAACATTTTGCACTGATAAGGGTCTAAATGGGTGGAAATCCAATACTAG